ACTCAGGATGATTTTTTCTAGATCCATCCATTTGCCTGCCAACCTCATGATGTCATTGTTTTTCTCTGCTGAGTAGTACTCCATTGTGTATATGTACCATATTTTCTTTATGCATTCTTCAGTTGAAGGGCATCTAGGTTGTTTCCAGGTTCTGGCTATTACAAATAATGCTGCTATGAACTTAGCTCAGCAGGTGCCCTTGTGGTATGATTGAGCATTCCTTGGGTATATGCCCAAGAGTGGTATAGTGGGGTATTGGGGGAGATTGATTCCCAATTTTCTAAGAAAGCACCATATTGATTTCCAAAGTGGTTGTAACAAGCTTGCATTCCCACCAGCAGTGGAGGAGAGTTCCTCTTGCTCCTCATCCTCTCCAGCATAAGCTGTCTTCTGTGTTTTTGATCTTAGCCATTCTGACAGGTGTAAGGTGGTATCTCAGAGTCATTTTGATTTGCATTTCCCTGATGATTAGGGATAGTGAGCAATTTCTTAAATGTCTTTCAGCCATTTGAGCTTCCTCTGTTGAGAATTCTCTGTTAGCTCTGTAGCCAGTTCTTAATTGGAGTGTTGGGCATTTTGATGTCTAATTTCTTGAGTTCCTTATATATTCTGGAATCAGCCCTCTGTCAGATGTGGGATTGATGATCTTTTCCCATTCTGTAGGCTGTCGCTTTGTCTTCTTGACCGAGTTCTTTGCTCTACAAAAGCTCTTCAGTTCCAAGAGGTCCCATTGATTGACTTTTTCTCTTAGTGTCTGTGCTACTGGTGTTATATTTAGGAAGTGATCTCCGGCTCCAATGCATTCAAGACTACTTCCTACTTTCTCTACTATCAGGTTCAGAGTAGCTAGATTTATGTTGAGTTCTTTGATCCACTTGGACTTAAGTTTTGTGTATGGTGACAGATATGGGTAGTGAAGATAATCCTTTCATAGATACAAAATGAAAATTTGAAAACTAAGAATCAAGAAAAAAGATATTATTTCACATTATGAGTCAATCATTAGAAGAATATAAAAATAAGAAAGATAAGAGTGTTGTAGAAATTATATAGATATATAAATTAGAATATATATGTATATAAAGGTTTAAAATAGATTGTAGTATAATTTGAAAAGAATTTTAGTTTTGCTTATTATAAGTTAAGAATTAGCCTTTCAGATTCTAATTGTCTGGGGAGAGTGATGATGAGGAAACATTAAAGACATCTCCTAGTTTGCCTACTTAAACTTTTTCTACTTGCTCTAAGAACTGTGATCATGTAATTTTATGATTATAACCTCAAAGAAAGTTTTGGTTCATGTTTGGAAAATAGTCATGTATTAGATATTTTTTAAAATGCAAGTATAGAATGATGTAATCATTGTTGTAGTATATAAAAATAATCTCTGTGGCTCTGGGATACAGATATACATATATTTTCTTCTATACACTGCCTCCTGAACACAGTATGATATAAAATATTGGTAGAGCCTCAGAAAAAATTTAAACTGTTGCCTGGTGCAACTTTTTTTTGTATTGCCTGCTGCATTCACTGTTCTCCTGTCTGATCTCTGCTGGAGCTTGCCCAGCAGGGCATACATAAGCTTTACTCATACCACAGCAGTTCTGAACAATTTGTACAGTTGGTGTTTTTCAAAGCAGGAATTATACTGGTCTAGTAAAGTGATGATAAATTCTCTTGTAAAACCCATGGCCTAACTAGTCCTGCATAGTTGGCTAGGTTTCTAGAACCAAGCATAATGTACCCCTTATTGAGGGGTCTTTAAGTACAATTAGATGT